GTTATATAATCTTTGTTAGAAACTCAAGAAAGGTTTACTTGGCATGAAAAAACTTTTCATTGTAAGCTAGCTGCATTTCAACCTTATAGAAAAACCAAATCAACTTCCGGTAATTTTTACTATAGATTCGCTATTTTTATACCCTTTAACCACGATTTACCCCTTAATTATTTAAAGCTTTAGATGAGCTTTGGACATTTGAACGTTGGCCAAAAAGGTCTTGAACATCATCCCTGCTGTGTAATGTACTATTTCTCCAACCAATCAGATTTAAGATCAAGTATAACACAAAAAAATTCAAAACAAACCAAAAAATCGTTCATGACTCAACATTTTACTATTAAACTGCCTTCTGTGCATTAACAAAAAGAATTCCTTACGAATTTTGGTATTATTGAAACTATTTTAATCTAACTTGATAGCAAAATTTAACTTTAATTTAGCTGCAAATTTTTTTAGTAAAATCTTTAAAGTTGGTGAACGCTAAGATCTTTAAAAATTAACGAATGATTATTAAATTTCTTAATTATTAATCAACTACCGAAAGCATAACATTAAAGTGATTTAGTTTTTTTTTTTTTTTATAAAATTTATAATATACATATTTTTTTTTCCAATTCATCTTTAATAATAACGATTAAAATTCTTATCGATATAATTTTGCCAACTAATTATTTAGCTAATAATTTTCATATATCCGATCTGCCAATTCTAATTATTACAAGCATATTTTTTTTTGACATTGATCTCTTTAAAAAAAAAAAAAAAAAAAAACAAAACAAAAACAAAAAAAAAAGAAAACAATGAATTACGAAATGTTTACGAATAAAAAAAAAAAAATTACATATATATATATATATAACGATAGCTTTTTTTTTTTTTTTTTTTTTTTAACAATCGATATTTATAAATAATTATTCGTTTTGGTTAAAATTATCAAGTAGTTTCTACTCAGCAATTATTACTTGTTTCTTCATTATCACATCGGAAAATTTATTATCGTTTTTAGGTGGTAAAGATTTTGAAACTAGTATTTCCAAAACGTTTCTTAGATTAGTTATGAACCCTGTATCAGTATTTACCACTTGTATCAGTTCTATTACATTTAGAGATTCTTTTACTGCTATAAAATGTAATGTTACATATTCTGAGGACGAAGGATTTAAAGGACTAAATTTTATAAAAAGATATTAATTAAATTAATTATTATTATTTACATTAATTATTGTTATTTATTTACATTCATTATTATTTAAAAAAAATAAACTTACCCTACTCGAACATTATTTTCTAGACAAACTATATCTGCTTCAGGTGTTTCAACATCAAAGTATTTTTTTAGGAATTCTATATTAAAGTTTAAATGATAAAACATTTGATGAATTAGTTATTTGAATTAATTTTAGAAAAAAATTACAGTATATACATCATACCTGTTTCTTCCATAAAAGGTTCTATCTGACTTGGCGGATTACCATGTATTATAATATCGGTGTGACCAATACTTGATGACTTTGATGATTTTGACGATGATGATATTGATACTGGCGATAATATTCTGAATGCACTAATACTAATAAAATAAAATTAAGATAGATTAAAAAAAAAAGATTAAGGAAGGAAAAGAATAATGAACAATATATATATATAAATATAAACGATATCATACGATTCATTAGGTCTCTTTTTATTAGGAACCATTATTGCCAAGTTTTGAACATGGGATGACTTGTTTACAACATGAACTTGTATTGTAAAGACCTGACCAACGACTATGTTTGTATTTACTAAAAGAAAAAATACGAATTAGAAATGAATAGGAATGAATAGGAATAGAATTAGAAATGAATAGGAATAGAATTAGAAATGAATAGGAATAGAATTAGAAATGAATAGGAATAGAATTAGAAATGAAGAGATAAAGATGACGAACCAAAAAAAGACATAACGACACTATTTTCAATATTTGAAGCAGTAGAATTCTGTAACATTGGAGTTCTTCCACCCGAAAGTATACCATTAATACTGTATAAGGAATCATTATCTTGTATAATACTTATTTGTTTATTTATATAACCATTCATCATAGCTGAATAGAAACTCCTTGTAACGGTAGGAGTATTAATGCCCGTTGGCAAATACAAAGAACTTCTTGAAGATAAAGAAGAAGCAGATGAAGGACTTCTAAATTTCGAAGTTAATGATAATGTTCGTTGATTTGATCGATTTAATTTATTAGGAGATAATGAATCAACATGGTTTAATAAACTAGATAAATCTAGTAAGCAGTTCCATTCAGATTCTATACATGGTAATTTCTCACCCTCGAATATGGGAGAGCCTTTTATTATTACGGAAAGAGGACGTTGTTGATCTTCATCGGAAGGAAGTGGCGGTTCGAATGAGGTGTTTGAAAAAATGGACGCAACGGAATTTCGACGAGACGATACGCAAGAATTTGGACTTGGAGTAGGACAATGCTGTGGTGGATCAGGTTTAGGTAAGGGAGGTTTTTCGAGTATTGTGACGTAGTAAAGAAATGTGGCCTGATCAACTGGATGTAATGTCATCGGGAATTCATTCTATAAAATAAAGGATTAATCTTAGTATTAATCTTAGTATTAATCTTAGTATTAATCTTGGTATTAATATTGGTATTAATATTAATGCAATAATGATATTAATATTATTGAAAATAATGATATTAATATTATTGAAAATAATGATATTAATATTAATAAAATAACGATATTAATATTAATAAAATAACGATATTAATATTAATCTTGTATTATATTAATATTAATATTAATATTAATGAAATAATGATATTAATATTAATAATATTAGCCTTATATTAATATTAATATTATATCGATATTATATTATTATTACTATAATTATTATTATATTATTACTATTATATCGATATTATATTATTACTATTATATCGATATTATATTATTACTATTATTATAATTATTATTATTATTATTACATACCACAGCCTCATTTTTATGCGTCCATTCGTATTTTGTTACGAAGCCATGAGGAATATTCATTTTTATCGAATCCACAATAAACGAACCAGTTTTTTCGACATTATTATTTGCCAATACAACGGAAACCAATATGGTATTTTCCGATGGTGACACGTTAGTTGTTCGTAATTGTACGTTTAACGCGGTTTTAACATTCAACATTTTTCGACAATTACGTTTCACGGGTTGTACAGCCGGGTATATACTTCGTTTTGGTTCATTGTATATTCCTGGTAAATTCGCAGATTGTATTTTACATATTACAGGAGAATTTTCAAATGCAGGATCTTAAAAAAAATTTCAAGAAAAAGATTAATAAGATTAATAAGATTAATAGAGTTTAAATATATATATATATATATAATAAAAATGTTAAATAAATAAATAAATAAATAAATAATTAATTAACTAACCATCATTTAGACCAGCTAATAAATTCGTCTTGCCGAAATGATGCGCAGCATACAATTCCGATCGAGGAGATATTATTACTTGTTTTGAAACTTCGTCGATCAAAGGTAACAGTGAAGTTGATACATTTAGTGATAATGCCGGACTGTGAGCGCGTGTTTGAGCAAAGACTAAATTAATATAAACATATAATTAGCGTAAGTAGTATAATTAGCGTAATTAGCGTAATTAGCATAATTAGCATGTTAGCATAAGTATTTATACTAACCTATAGGAGCAGTTAAAGGAATAACACAAATCCAACAACCTTTACGCTTTGTAACCACCATATTTCGATCATCGAGACTCAAGTTATAAGTATTTGAATAGATGATAGTTCCTTCAGATGGTTTGTTTAAATTCTTATAAACGGAAGAACATATAGGAGTTCCAGGTATTGAGGGAGAAGTAGTAGCAGAACTAGATCGCGATTTTCCCGGAGGATTACGGTATATAGATTGAGCAGCAGGAGCAGGTACAGATAAATTGCTCGCATCAACCATAGATGCCTCAACATTTATTTCTAATTGTTGAAAAAATGCTTTTGCTGTAAATAGATCAGATATACCAGAATCATGAGAAAGACTGATCGATAGATAAAAACGGAGGAGTTCATCTTTTAAAAATTTATAAATATTTTTGAAAAGTTTGAAAAATTAATATTGTTAAAAAAGTAATTTAAATTGTTAAATGATAGGAATGAATGATAGATTTATACCATAAAATGTTATAGCTCTAGACTTTTTGTTTAATATATTATCGATATTTTCTTCAGTAAAATTTAGAATTCCATTTGGAATAATGATATCCAAAGTTGCCAAGTTTAGTAGTGCCTCTCGAGATTTCATGATCGAATTTTATATAATAGATAGAGATGAAAAAAAAAATAATGATGATAATAAAAGATCCGTGGAAAATCCGTAGAAAAATAAAGTTTTAATGTGAAGAAATAAAAAAAGGCAAAAAAAAATTATAAAATACAAGTTTATTAAAGCAATATATAATGATATTGATTATTTTTCCGATTATTTAGTGGGAATTTATTTGTTCTCCACATGACACGTATATGTATACAATATAAAAATAATACTTTTTTCAATAAAACCGAAAAAACCGACCAAAATCGAAATTTATACGAGTTAACTATATAATATAAACTGTACGCCAAAAAGGTACCTCATTATGAAATAAGAAGTGATCATGTGTAGAGGTTATAAGCCATCTTTGAACCAGTTCTAAGTTTCAAAGCCGCTCTTACGGAGTGCTTTTAAATTCCACACGATGCTTCAAAGAACCAACCGTATAAAGTTATTTAACATTTTGTTATGATGGTATCTGTCAATTACTTTGAATGTCTATCATAACGGTTGAACACTGATGTACGGCATAACTTACTATGTCGTGATACCTGCAAGCCAAAAAAAAAAAGTACATAACGATGCATCAGTGGATACGATGCATAAGTGGATAAATAATTTTCTATACGCCTTTTATCGCGCCGTAACTGTAACATGCTCGTTAAATTATCCATTTATGCTTGTTTGATTGTTTATTTTTTTTTTCGCTTGTTTGCTGTTCGTACAAATAAATGTTAAGAGAATATTAAACATATTCGTAATAGTACATAATAAAAAATTCTCAGATCTAACGTATTTTGTCAACCATGACAATTAGGTAACTATGTATTATAAATTCATTGACTGTTAAGTGTACATCATCAAAGATTTATCTTCTTCGAGCGTACATGCGTTTGCGCACGTCTACACACGTGCACCCACCTTAAAAATACAAGGACTTAAACTTTTGATGATCTATAACCTATACGGGGACCATCTATTTTTTTTTAAATTTCGTGAATTTTTTCATTATTTTTTTTTAAACCTAAATCTGTAAATTATATATTAAATAGAAATGAATAAACGAAAAAAATTTCCTAAAACCCATTTAGTAAATGATCGGTTAATTATACGCATTAAGCATTGTAATGCAGATCTATAAACAATTAGTTACATAACAATTAGTTACATTGTTGGGAATATTTTGATGTATCAGAATATTAGATCTTCTATTAATAATTTGGATCGATTGGATCCACACCTGATTTGCCACATACGTTTCTCTGCGAAGTACGAACCAATAATATTTGAATTTTTTTTGTTTATTAACCGATAATTTTTTTTTTACCTTCTCTGGTATTAGTGGTTATCGTTATTAAGTGCCTAAATCGTTGGATCACAATAGGAAATTTACAAATTAAATATGCAAACCCTGATGAAATAATTTATATGTACTAAAGATTTATACTTAGACATATACTTAGACATATACTGAGCATATCTTAGATTTATTACTTAGTATATACTTAGACTTAAACTTATACTTTGAACTTTTAAATTCTGAATCTCTAAATCGCATTTAATATATGTGCATATATTTTTAATGTTATTGCATCTTGAAATTCGATTAATTGTATATATTGTGCCACCATTATATATCGATATTTTAGTCCGAATATGAAATATTTCAGTGAAGTACACTAGTGGTGCTCAATATCACATACATTTAAAAAGATTAGAGTTTGTAATCTGAATATCATTTAAATAGTTTTTGAATACCACTGATGTATGCTTTAGTAAACTGTATAAAAATCTATAAAGATGAATTAATTTACTATAAAAGCTACTATCTTTATTATTAGCTATCGTTCTTATTAATTGTTAATGTTTATTAATTGTCGTTATTAGTTAGTTATTAGTTAATCAAAATATTATAGTAATATAATACTATTATCTATACTATGAATTAAATTAAATCTTATCGTTATACGTAAAAGGAATACCAATGATTAATCGATTAATTTAATAAGTTAACCTATCTAAACCTGTAAACCATACAAATTTATAAATTTACTTAATTATGTAAACGATTAGATCCATTTGACGCGAAAAATGCGTGTTCGTGTGTGTAGTACGAATTCATATTGGCGTGTATCATTATAAGCATAATATCTTAATACATTTCTAGAATGATTTCTGTAATTATTTCTGTAATGATTTCTGTAATTATTTCTGTAATGTTATGTTCTGTAATGCATTTTTGGATAAAATAATTATTCTTAATGTATTTGACAAAGTATATTCACGTACTACATAAGACAAAAAGTTATTACGTACGTACTTTATTTATCTCTTACACTGTCCCACTATCATAGTGTAGCTTAAAATTAACTGTTATGGTTTTGATAACTTGATTACTCATAACAATTTACCTGCAAAATAATGTAAGGGACGATATTATTATTATTTTGTCCTCTTTATATGTCTTCATATGTTACAAAAAATATATAGTTTGTCGTTTGTACATACAAAATGATTTGTACTATTTGTACTATTTGTACTAAGTGTATTACTAAGTGTACTAAGTTGTGCCTAGGCCATTTCTTATTACTTATTTCTTAAACTTTTGAAAAAAATGATTATTAATATGTAAACCCTGGAAGATGAGCGTGCAGGAATGGCTTTGCATTATCTATTATGTTAATCATGTGCTTAATGAAGGAAACAAGAACCTTGAAACATCATTAATAAAAGGTTATTTGATGATAGGTATGTTATCGGCTTAATCCGGCTTGCATATTTTAATCGATTAATGAATAGATGTTAATATTTATGTGATTGGATTAATTTTTATTCTATATATTTATTTTTATTATTTACTTAACTACGTACTGTATATCGATATAGTATGATTTATTAACTATGTAGGTATATAACGTAACTATATAGCGTGAATTAATAACTATATAGTGTGAGTGAATTAATAGCTATATAGTGTGAATTGATAGCTATATAGCGTGATTTAATAATAACTACATAGCGTGATTTAATAATAACTATATAGCGTAGTGTGACTTAATAATAATAACTATATAGCGTGATTTAAAATTTTATATCTACCATTCAAATTAAAATGATCCAATTACAAAAGCCAATCTGATAGTGATTAAAGTAAGAATTAATGTCCAAAGTGTAATTAAAATCACTTTCCTTCCAGATGTATCAGGTACTAAAATACGTTTAGAGTGTATAACACTGGTGCAGTGCGTATCAAAATAAATATAAAGTGCATAACATGGAAATGCAACACTATATGACAATGAATAAACGATATAACTATGAAATCATACAAAAATGTAAATAAAAAAAAGATGTAAATAATTAGCTTAAAATTTAAAATTTTTTTGTTCATTATATACATATATATAACTTACGCTCGTCCATCCCCCGAAAACAATGTCGTGAAACTATTTCCAATAATATGAACAAATGATGCAAAGATCAATAATAAAAGTTGTTCTGGATGCTCAATAACTTTTGGTGAAATGTTTGGCGCATCATCAGACGGTAAATGATCTTCATTTTCTGCCATAGGAAGTAAAGCCGCTGTCTGTTCTCGGACATAATCTCGCGTAGCCAAGTATATGCGTGTAAATATAATACACGTTGCATAACTTAAATATAATCCTGAAATTTATTAACGATATCTTGATGTTAGTTTGTTATTAAAATATATATATATATATATATATGTATATATGTTGTAAGTAGGTTCAAATTTTCGGCATTTATGTGCTTTTGTTTTTTTCTTTTCTTACTCTCTTCCTAAGATTATTCCATTCCCACTTACAACATTCAGTTTACAATATTCAATTTTACAACATACAATTTTACAACATTCGATTTTTTACCTTGTGTTTTAAACCAAACTGCATCATACGGCCAAGGTAATGAAATATTTAATAACATCACTATGAATAAATATGTTCCTACAATCGCGTAAAAATAATTGGTTGTAATTTTTCCTCCTTGAATTAATAATAATAATATTCCAACTTCAAAAATATTATGTAATACGGAAAATGTTGAAAATAATTTTCCAAAATCTAAAATGAAAAAAGTTATTCCACTAATTGCTGCCATACTAATATAATATGCAATAAAATTATTAAAATAATTTGCTGGTATTCTACTTCCATTTTCTTGATAAATATACGTAATAAACTTTTTGGGTAAATCTTTTTTAGTTACCCAAATAATTGTATAAATTGATGCTGTAACATTTGTGATTATAAAGAACCAATTTGCCGTGTCGTATGCTTCTGAATAAAAATCTATTAAAAAAAACATATATATATAAATATATAATTATAAATATATAATTATATATGTATTTATATTATATAAAATTGTTATTTATTAAAAAATTTATTGCTTTTTTTTTTGATTAATTCATTCATTCATGTTAAAATATATATATTTTATAAATACGTTGAAGTTTTCCATGCCAAGTTGGATACCCCGTGAAACGAGCTGGTACTTGTTCTGAAATATCGGGTTGGGGAAACGTAAAAAAGGATAAAAGAATAATAATAATAATCAAAATATTAACTGTTATCGTGGCACACCCTCTTAAAACCATTTTCTTTTCGAAGGAGGAAATAAGGTTTATAGTTTATATGCTTCAGTGTAACAACACTTATCGTTATAACTCTAATTTTGGATCACGTGCTTATAGATTTTGCGATAATCATTTACATTTGTGGTACGAATTTACATATTTAATTTTTTTTTTTAAAAAAAAAACTTTCGAGCGGCAAAATCTCGAATAACCTCGAATAATTTAGGAATTATATAAAATGGATTCTCATAATGTGTACCAACTATTTAATGCTACTTATGATTCTGATCCAAATGTGCAAAAGCAAGCAGAAGCCCAACTAAAACAGGTATTGTCATTTGGTGAATACCATCGGGGTAGGGTATGAGTTAATATAAAGATAATAGGGTATAGATAATAGGGTATTGTTAACATGTCTTTTTTAATGTATTAATTGGTAATAGGTTGAGGTATCAGTTGGTTTTATCCCTATTCTTCTTCAAATTTTGGCTTCACAAGAATCTAGCGTTGAAACTAGGCAAGCTAGTAAGTGCTTATTTTCCCTAATTAAATTATAATCATCTCATTTTTATTATTAATTATTTTTATTTATAATTATTATCATTATTATCATCATTATTATTATTTTTAATTTAATTAGTTGCAATATATCTTAAAAATCGTATTCGTTCATCCTGGGTCTCAGATGAACCATCAACGGCAAATTTTGTCTCTATTAATCAACAAGATCGGGATGAATTCAAAAAAAATATATTACACATCTTATTGGCTGTTCCTAATGCTGTAAGGTTAGTTTAATATTTCCAACGATTCTTGTCAATAATTACCTATATATCTTTTAATTTTTCAGCGTACAAAGTATTTTAACTTTAAATCCAATATAGAATCCAACTACTTGATCCTTTAAGTAGAGTTCTTGATAATGATTATCCTCATAATTGGCCTGATTATTTAAATCAAGTTGATGCTCTTTTAACTTCTGGTGATCCTAGAACTGCTTATATTGGCTTATTGGCCTTACAACAAGTCGTTAAAGCTTATCAGTTAGTATATAAATTTTCTATCTTTTTTGAAAAAAAAATTTTTAGATTTTCTTTTTTTATTTATTTGCTTATTTGTTTTTAGATGGAAATCTTCTGATCAAAGAGGTCCTTTGAATGAAATTATTCAAAGATCTTTTACAATTATTTTACAAATGGGTCAGGATTTACTTGGTGAAATAAACTTGGATGCTGCTGAAATGTTGAGAATTATAAATAAAATTTATAGTTCTGCTACTCAAGTATTATTAATTATGTTATATATTTTTATTTGTTTATTTGTTCTTTATTTTATTAACATATTTTATCCTTCTTGTTCCAATTATTCAAGTTTGAACTTTCTCAAACTCTTCAAGATAATAATTCTATTATTCCATGGGTCTCCTTTTTTCAACATCTAGTTGAAAAAGATATACCTGGTGAAATTATTCCAAATGACCTTGAAGATCGACAAAAATTTATTTGGTTTAGAGCTCAAAGATGGGCTTGTCAAAATTTAAATCGTCTTTTTCAAAGATATGGAAATCCTGCTCAACTTGTTTCTTCTTCTACAAGATATGCCGCTTTTGCTGAAAATTTCATACATCATTTTGGTTCTCAAATATTACATACTTATTTACGAAAAACGGAAAAATGGATCAAGAAAGAAATATGGTTAACAAATAAAATCCTTTTTTACTTTTCCGAATTCTTCAGAGATTCGTTAGTATATCCTCAATTCTATTTATATCAAAAAATTCTTATATATTTTTTATATTTATATTATATTAAATATTTTACTTATTTTTATTAGAATTACACATAAAATTACATGGCAAATTATTAAACCATATAGCGAGACATTAGTGTCTCAATATTTATTCCCTCAATTATGCTTTTCTGATGAAGATGAACAATTATGGACAGAAGATCCTGTTGATTATATTCATAAAAAAATGGATCCTCTAGAAGATTTCAGTTCTCATACAGCTGCTGCTATTTCTCTCCTTATGGACCTAGCAAAACTTAGAAAAAAATATACTTTTATGGGAATAATGGGTTTTATTAATAATATTTTAGCTACTTATCATGATTCTCCTGCTGATACAAAAAATCCTCGTCATAAAGATGGTGCTTTGAAAATGATTGGTTGTCTTAGTGATATGGTTATGCGTAAAAAATCTGGTGTTGCTCATCTTATGGAAGGTTTTCTTACTACTCATGTGTTTCCTGAATTTCAAAGTCCTTATGGATTTTTAAGAGCTAGGGTAAATAAATATTATATCGATTAATAATTAACAATAATAATAATTAACAATTTTTTAATATTTAAAATATTAGGCATGTGATATGATGATCAAATTTGATAGTTTGGATTTTGAACAAGAATCAAATCTAGGAATAGCATTTCAAGGAATTACTAGTTGTATGCGTGATGATGAATTACCAGTAAAAGTTCAAGCTTGTTTAGCTTTGCAAAGCATGATACGACACGAAACAGGTAATATAATTTATTCTTATTATTTCATTCATATTATGATTTTATTTTATTTTAATCTTTATTGTCTATTTAGTAAAAGCTGCTCTAATTCCTAATATACCAATGGTTATGCAACGTAATTATTACCTGTTTTTTTTTCACAATAAGAATTCAAAAAGTTATATGAATTTATGAAAAACTACTCGTATTTTTATATTTATTATTTTTATAATTATTTTCGGTTTTTTTTTTTTAAAAAAAAAGAACTTCTCGATCTAACCAATCAAATTGATACTGATACACTTGCTAATGTAATGGAAGATTTTGTTGAAGTTTTTTCCAAGGAATTAAGCCCTTTCGCTATTCAATTATGTGAACAATTAGTATGAAATATATATATTATTTATTTTTTAGTAAAAAAATTTGATAGAAAAATTAATTTCATATAAACGTTGATATAATATAGCGAAATGCATTCTTAAGAATTATGCAAGACTATCAGAACGCTCCCGCAGTTCCTGGAAGTGAAGATATTTATGATCCTGCATACGATTGTGGTGAAAAAACTTTGGCAGCTGCTGGTGTTCTCAAAACAATAACTACCTTAATTCTTAGTTTGGAAAGTACACCGGAAATTTTATCTCAATTAGAAAATGTATTATTACCTGTTATTACATTTACGTTAGAAAATACAATTACAGGTGAGAAATTTATTTTTATTTTTATGAATATAAAAAATTTGTTTTTACTTAATTTTTCACGAAATTATATCTATTCATTAGATTTATACGATGATATCTTTGATATTATCGATAGTTGTACGTATTCCACAAAACAAATATCACCTACAATGTGGGGAATATTTGACTTAATATATAAAACATTTAAAGGAAATGAAACAATATCTGGAATTGATTATATTGAAGGTATTATTAAATGGATTTAATTCAAAAAATTTATTCATTAATTTTATTTCAAAGAAATTATATATATTTATTACTTTGTCATTTCTTTAGAAATGCTTCCTTCTCTTGATAATTATATATCCTATGGTACCGATGTATTTGTGCAAAATGCTGATTTGCACACTAGAATATATGATATCATTGAAACAGTATGATTAATAGTTATTATTGTAAATCTTTTGTTATTTTATATTATATTTACTTAAATAATTCTTTTTTTGTATCTTTTAGGTTATGAATAGTGATCGTATTAATGAAAGTGAACGTGTTTGTGCTTGTAAATTGATTGAATCTGTATTATTAAATTGTCGTGGATGTATGGATCAGGTATTTTTATTAATTTATATTTATTTATTTATTTGTTTGTTAATTGGTTACGTTATTTGATATTTTATTTTGATTGATCATTAAATAATTTAGTTTTTATTCACCTTTTAGTATATTGGCCCATTCCTTGGTCTTGCTTTTCGTTTCTTATCAGACCCACCAAGTATTACCACACTACCATTCAAAATCTATTGTATAGAAGTTGTAAGTTATTTCGGTATTATTATTATTATTATTATTAGATAATATAATTAATTTATTTATTTATTTATTTTGATTAACGTAATGATTTTTAGGTAATCAATTGCCTTTACTATAATCCTGCTATGACACTTCATAATCTTGAAGAACGTGGCCTTACTCAAGCATTTTTTACAATATGGTTTGAAAACATTGAAAAATTTAAACGAGTTCATGATAAAAAACTTGTTATTGTAGCACTTTGTTCATTATTGGAATTACCTTTTGAACAATTACCACCTACATTACAAGCTGGATGGACACAAGTTTTGGATGGTATTCTAACAGTATTCAAATCTTTACCTAAAGCCGAAGAAAGTAAGTAAACATTTAAATTTACTTTACCCATTTTTAATAAATAAAAGTTATATGAGTCTTATTATTATTAGATCGAGAAAATCTCGAAAAAAGTTATGAAGATGACGATAGTGATGACTCAGATGAACTTGAATCTCTCGATAAAGCATATGGTGAAGACGACAGTGTTGGTAATGGTTAGTAGAATAATTTGAAATATTTACTTATATTTCATTTAATAGGTGTTTGTTTATGATTACGTTGTAATTAATATTTTAACTATTTAGATGATGAAAATGTAGTTGATGAGGATACACAATATTTAGAGTTTTTGGCACAAGAGGTAATTTTTATTAGTTATAATTTTGTGATTGTTATACGTGTTGATTAAATAATTTCATATGTTTTAGGCCTCCAAGAATAACCCTGATGAAGATGAAAATGAACATGAAGAAGAGATGGAAGAAGAAGTTTTGTTTGAATCACCATTAGATAAAGTAGATGTCTATATAAAATTTCATGAATCATTCATTGGTAAGAAATTTTTTTCAAATGCACTTATTTTCTCAATTTATTACCTCAATTTTATTACTATAAAGATGTATAATAATTGATTTTATAATTTTAGGTGTTCAACAACATTATCCAGCATCTTATAATCATCTTACAAAAAATCTTGATAATAATAAACAAGGATTTATTATGTCATTATTTTCTACAGCGGAACAAAGAAAAAATTAAAAGATTGGAATCAAATATTCAAATCAATTTGTATTAAGTATGACTTTGAATATTCAAAATCATTATACAACTATTATAAAGCCGTTACATAGCCTTTACATAGTCATTACAAAACCATTATTATAAAATGTTATAGGATTATAAGCAATTATTTTTTAGCCGCTATACAATTATACAACCATTATATTACTGTTTATATTGTCAGACAATAATTGCATTATTATATAACAACTTTGTTATACAACAAATTGTTATAATAAGTTGCAATATAAAAAGCCGTTATATAAAAAAAAAAAAAAAAACATACATCATAAGTCACTATTAAAAATGTTTATAACCAACTTCTATAGCATATATTTTCATAAAGTTTGAAATTGAATATATTAAGTTGACGGAAGTTAACGAAACGATGACTAAGTAAAAAGTAATCCGGTTAGATTCAAAAGTGTTGCTATTAATTCTAATCGAGTATTCAGATAATAGAATATCGTGCGAACGAGCACGTGAAACAGATAGGTATAATTTAATTAATTTCTTAATACCTAATGCTAAGATAAATGGATATTTTCAATTTTCAATTAATAATGCTGTAATGGTTATACTTATCGTTATTGTCATGATGAAAATCAGTTCTTCGGTGGAAGTTAGTGCTCGCAATATGTTGTATATATACAACAACTGAAGAAAACCTGAAATTAAAAAGAAGAGTTAATGCTGCTACATCAAAAAAAAAAAAATTATTAAAAAAAAATAAATCAAATACATATCGCTTTGATACTTGCTGAACAAATCCCAAACCCCATATTCTTTATTGAATAAAAAGATATACTACTATATTATTTATAGACAATCTTCTTTCTGTTATCTTATTAAAGACTAGAGGTCTACTGACCATTTTAGTAAAGAATAGGTCAAGAGTATGTAATTTTTATCTTCATTTTTTCTAGTATAATTTCTTTATTATATATCTTATATATATGTATAATTAACTAATTAATAAAAGAATTAAAGAGTAAACTTTTATTTTTTAAAAAAAAAGATAAAAAAAAGTTTTATCGATTTTTAAAAAAAAAAAAGTTTAACAACATTATTAGTTGGTTTATTAGGTTCTAAATTTAATATAATACAATTTGTAGTTATATTTATAAGATTAATTATTACTAGTACTATATTAGTTATTCTAATTTTATTTTATTGATTTTATTTAGCTACTCATATAGCACCTAGTCTGTATCTATTATATGCCTGTATACAGTTACTTTGATAACTATTTGTAGTCAAGATATACTATTAAACTACTACACAGACAAAGATATTTTGGAACTTAATATAATATTCTAATATTAAAGATACTGTCTTCTATAATTATATTTATATATTTTTTATTCACATATTTTATCTAGTTTTTTTTTTTTTGGTATTAAGGTGATCTCTTTGGTTTTTTGATTTTTATTAATAATTTTTTTAATAATATGATTTAGTAAATCACTACAGAAGAGTATATATTGGTTATATGAGTAACTTTTCTATATTATTTATTTAAGAAGTCTGTTTGAAGGTTCCTTACCCATTGCTGTACCTAACACCTTTGCTTGGGTGTTTCACTTTAAATTTTTTGAACCTGCAGCTTGTGTTAATTTTATTAAGTTATACTCAGATGTCCAGAACATCATCTTAACCTTAGGACTATTTTATCTTCAAGGTAAACCTCCTGAAGCTTTCTGTACCTATTTTTACAGCTAATTTGATATTATTATAGCAGAACTAACACTTGTGATCAGGACTAACCATTAAATTGCTATGCCTTTGTAGAGTTCATACAAACCTTAGCATCTACTTTATAGTATATCCCTAGTACTTTAGTATACTCTTGCCTTTTTATCAGATTTTCAATTCAGATAGTTTATATAGGATTATAACCAGTTTATTAGTATATTGGATCAGGCTAATATTCTTTTCTTTTGGTTCATTCTAGTACAGATTAAATGAATAAATAAAGAGTAAATAATAGATAAATAATAGAAAAAAATCTGCCATTATTCTACCCTATATCTTCTAAATAATGGCAGCATAATAGCAGTATAACAGCAGAATAACAGTAAAATAACAGGAGGTTTGTTAATATAAGTAACATAATAGTAACATAATAACAAAATAATAGAACAGTTCTATTAATTACTTTTAGTTACAAAGACTAAAATTAAAATAATAGAACTGTTCTATTATTTTGCTATTATGTTACTATTATATTACTGATATCAATAAACCTCTTATTATTTTACTGTTATTTTGCTATTATGCTACTATTATGCTGTCATTATTTGACAGATATAGGATAGAATAATGGCAGATTTTTTTTCTGTTATTTACCTATTATTCACCTTTTATTTATTTATTTAATCTGTATAGTAGTCTGGTTGGTAGTATCTTTAAGCTTTTTCTAACCTAAAGGTTTGTTTGTTCAGATACTATGATCTTGGTATTCATTTCAGTAGTCTAGTCTTTACAATAGTACTATTAAAGATCCAGTTACCTCTCTAGTTAGGTCTTTTCAAATGAACTTTTTATTACCTAATTTTAACAGATTTACATAGTTACAAGAACTTATCTAGTATTTGTACTATTTGATTGTTAGCTTGCATTTCTCTGTATAACTCCAACATTGTACAGATGCTCTATGTCCTGTTAGTCATGCTAATATGACTACCATTACAGGTATCCTAACCTAATTGTTAGTTATAGTTATTATAATATAAATATTATATAGATGATTATTCAAATTTTTGTCATTAATAAGATTTGAACACTCAACTTACTATTTAGAGAGTTGACAACCTGATTACTTTACTAGGTTGTCATATCTCTATTTAGTCTTGTTTCTTTTATCTTCTAATCTAATTATATTTAATAATATTTTATTTTTCATATTTTTTATCTTTTTATTACTATATTACTTTTAAATTAGTTTTATTTAGATATGTCTAATCTTTATTTTTTTTTTTGATATTAAGATAACCTCTTTGGTCTTTGACTTATATTAATGATTTTTGGCAATGTGATTCAATAAACTACTACAGGAGAGCATACAATTGACTATATGTATAACTTTTATATATTACCTATTTAAGAAATCCACCTGAAGACTCTCTACTAATTGTCATATCTAACACCTCTGCTTAGGTGTTTTACTTTAAACCCTCTGAACCTATAATCTGTATTAATCTCACTAAATCATACCTAATATATATATCATCATCTTAACCTTAGAACTATTTTATTTTTGAGATAAACTTTCCAAAGCCTTCTGTATTCATTTTTATAGCTGATCTAGGTATTGCTATAGCAGAACCAATACTTGTAGTTAGAGTTATATCATTTAACTGCTATGCTCTTGTAAAGTTTATACAGACTCCAGCATCTACTTTATTGCATAATTTTAGTACTTTAGTATATTTCTGCTTTTTGTCTAGTTTTTTAACTAAACTTTTAATCTAGATAGTTTGTATAAGATTATGACTAATCTATCGATATATCAGATTAGTCCAATATTCTTTTTCTTTAATGCATTCTAGCAGCCTAATTAGTGGTACTTTTGAGACTTTCAACATAAAAGTTCTTGCCTGTTCAGATACTATAACTAGGTACTATGACCAGATACTATGATCTTGGTATCTATTTATCTAAGCTAGTTTTTACAATAAAGCTATTAAAGATCTAACTACCTCTCTATTTGAATCTTTCCAAATGAACTTCTTGTTATTCAATTTTAACAGATTTACATAAATAACTACAAAGACTTATTTAGAGTTTGCACTACTCAATGCTGGTTTGCATTCTTCTGTGTAACAGGTTACATGGATGTCTCATGACCTGCTAATCATGCTGATATAACTGTTATTACAGATATCCTAATCTAATTATTGATAACAGTTGTTATAATATAAGTATTACATAGATGGTTATTCAAATTTTTGCTATTAATAGAATTTGAACATCCAACCTATCATTTGGAGAGTTGATAATCTAATAATTTTACTAGGTTGCTACATTCTATATTTAATCTTTATAATCTTTTATCTTTGATATATCTGTTATAGTTTTTTCTAAAATTTTTTAATAATAGTTTAAAATCTATAATAAACCTGTATTTTAAGTCAGATCTATTACTGTTATTAGTTTTTTGACTAATCTATATTTCAAACCAGATCTGTTATTATTATTTTTGCAGATACTCTAAGTTTTAATATTATACAGTAACTTGATGCTATATTTACTTTTAACAACATGTTTTCTTCTATAATAAAAATTAAAACTTATAATATTTACAAACAAAATAATTCTAATTATATCTAGAAAATTTTTCTAATTCTAATAAAACTATATTATTATTTATTGCATGTTTTTAGCTTATTTAATAATATTTATAAAATAATTTTAGTTATTTCAAGAAAGTTATACTAATTTTAGTAATTTTATACTATATTATAAATCTTATTTTATATTAGTTAGTTAAGCTTAGTTCTATTTGTTATAAACTTTTATATAGATACAACTAAAACCTAATTTGATGTCTTTTTTTTATACTAAAGAAGTATATGCTAATTTCTAAATTTTTTTTATAATTAAATTAGTTAGTTATATTAATAATGTTTTTAATTTTAAAAATCAGTTAAAGTAAAATAAATTCAATATATATATATATATATATATATTTAAGATAACCTCTTTGGTCTTTTAACTTTTATTGCCACTTTTTTGATAATATATTCTATAAGAAACTACTACAAGAAGGATATACAATTAGCTAAATATGTAACTTTTTTATATTATCTATTTAAGAAGTTCAGTTAAAAGTTTTTTACTAATTGTCATATCTAACATTTCTACTTAGATATTCAATTTAAAATCTTCTGAATTTGCAACTTGTATTAATATTACTAAGTTATATCCAGATCATTAATTCAACCTTAGACTATTTTATCTTTGAAATAAGTCTCTTAGAACCTTTTGTACTTATTTTTATAGCTAACTCAATATTGTTATAGCAAAATTAACACTTATAATTAGGGCTAGTCATTAAACTGCTATGTTATTGTAGAGTTTATTCAAACTTCAGTACTATTTTATTACATATCTGAAATGCTTTAGTATACTTCACATTGTTATTAGAAATAGTCTAGTAGGACTATAATTAGTTTATTAATATATTAGATTAGTCTGATATTTTTTTTCTTTAGTTCAATTCTGGGATTTATTTACTTTACTAATACTCAATTTACTGATATCTTATTTTATTATTACTCATTTATTGACAAATTTATTTTACAGATAATTGTTTTATTAATATTTAATTTATAGACAAATTTAATTTACTAATAAGTTTATTTTATTAACAATCAATTTACAAACAATTATTATACTAACAAGCTTATTTCATTAACAGCACATTTTACTGTTAGTATACTTTACAAACAAGTATAATTGATTTATATATATACCAATATTTAATATATTTTGTAAAACAAATATTAGAATATTATATAAAATATTTAATTATAACTAGCTTAGATTATGTAAAAAAAATTATTAGTAAAGAATAAAATTTCTTTTATTAAAAAAAAGTAATATTTTAGTAAAGCCAGCTAGAATTATATATAAAAAAATATAGAATTAGTAAAGAATAAAATTATTTTTATAAAAATAAAAGTAATATGAAACCTAAACTAATTTATATTTTAGTGAAACCCAACTCAGATTATATAAAAAAAAAAGATAGAATTGATAAAGAATAGAATTACTTTTATAAAAAAAAGTAATATAAAATCTGACCTAATTTATGCTTTATAAGTTTGTTTAAGGAAAAAAATTTTACACCTATTTTCATAATTTTTAAAACATCTGATAAAAATTAACTAAATAATGCTTTAGTTGATTTGCTTATATAATACTTGTTCTATAGATAATTTTAATATTGTAAATATGATACACTCAATATTATTAAATTTTTTATTTGAAAACTTGTCAAACATGTTTATAATATAATATAATTAGTGTGTTTAGTTTGTGCAAAAATATATAAATTTTAAATTATATGTAAAACTGCATGATATATATAATGATTATGCTAAAATTAATAACTTAACCAGATTGACTATTAATTGAATTTTATTAGATATTTCAAGAATTATAAAAATAGAAGTAAAATTAGTAAAAAATAAAATTACTTTATAAAAAAAAAGTACTGCAAAAACTGACTTAATTTATGTATAACAAAATACTTTAGTGAAACCCAACTCTAGGTAGATATTATGTTCTGAAATGTGTAATGATCTAAGTATTAGTTCAAAAAGAAAAGGTACTGTACTGCTCAGACAGCATACTAATTAAGTATATACAATAAGTTTGTGATAGTTAAATAATTAATAGGGCAGATGATTAGAAGGTTTAAATAGATAATTTTTTAGTAGATCATAGGTACAACATCTAGTGTAAAACCCTAGAACAACCTACTTAAATAGGCAATCAAAAGTTACATATATGACTAGCTGTATTCTTATCTCTGTAAAAATAATTGTAATACTAACCCCAATATATGTTAATAAAATAACTGCCATGAAGCATGATCTTTAAACATAAACAAAAAATAAAAAAAAATATTGTTTGTTTATTATAAATTAATTTTTTAATTTGTACGAAATTTAGTATAAAAAAACTAACAGATACTTATTAAGAATTATATTTTATAAGTAAAATTTTATTTTGAAAATTTTTACTTAGATAGTAAATTTTTGTATTATAAATGTTTTTGTTATAATTTCTTATATTTTTTGCATTTGTTTTGTTATACAAGATTTTATAATTTTATTGAATCCAAATAGGATCAGAAGTGATCTTCAGCCTAGAATTTGACATAACGATAAGGGTACTTCTAGTTTTACAGTCTTCAAAAATTACTAGCAAGTATAAATCAATAGTTTGATCAAAGCAATAAAATTGATAAACTTAAAACTATACCTTAATATTGAGACATTGGTAACTCACCATATTTCGCTGTGATGACCCAACATATGACGATAGTCATGTAATGCCTTGATGACAATTCAAAGTCAATAAATGAAGAAATACGTAAAACAACATCAAAAATCACCTGATATGGGTAATACTGAAAGAACGGATGATATTGAACGGTATTATCAACGTATGATTGAAGATGAAAGGATTAACATAGGTCTTCGAATACCGATAGATATAAAGAATTACTTGCCCGAACGTATGATGCCCATCGTGAAGCCACTTGTAACCATTTTTGGAAGCCGTCTTAACATAATTGAAGTTGGATTGTAGTGCGGGACTTGTATAATGCGAATCAATAATATTCGCAAATTCGAATTTATGCAAATTTATATGAATTTATTCGAATCAATTCAATTCGACTTGTAAAAATTCGAATTTAAAAATTAAATTCGATTCCAACCTCGAAAAAAAACGAAATACAAACTGCCGCATATAGCTAACTAAATAGTTAAAATGTTTTAAAACTTTATTCATATATATATGTACATGTAGAAATAATGATTCATGATTTAAAGTTCACGAATATGACCGAATATATATTTCTATTTGCATATATGCAATTATACTTATTACAAATGCATACTATAACATTACTGCATACGTACATTAAATAAATATTTTATTTCAATATTCTGTGATCCTCTTCGATAAGAATCGTCAAATTTAAATATCTAGTATGTCTAGTGCGATTATTACATTATTACAATTTCAATAAATAAATATAAATTATTTATCGTTATCAATATTATTTTTATTCTATGTATAAAATTTACTTCTTAATTGATTCCTGTAATATGTCGTAATATGTTGGATTTTCTTTTTAGCAATCAATAACAATTGGTCAAATATCGATATTTTTTCTTTGCTGCTGCACATGCATTAATCATAAAAATATTTATCATTTACATTGTCTTATTTTTTTTAAAGTTTGTCGGCTACGTATAAACTCATTCTCAAAGTTTTTATTAAGCTGTTCTGATTGTTCTAATTGAAAATTATATACGTATCAATATACTTTTCTCGATACATATACATATATACATATGTTTAATATTTATTTTAAAGCTTTTTATATTATAACTTTGCAAATTTAAATGAGCATTTATATTAATCTCGTAAATAAATAATTAGTTTAGGTAAAAAAAAAAATCTAATTTATTTACAATTCGTACGTACTATAACAAATTCATAAAATTTATTCAAATATTCTTTTTTCACAACTTAATTTATGAAAGCATTATTCGTATTAATTTTCATTGCATTATTTTATCATCAATAACAAAAACTCCCGATTCTCCAAAAATGTCTACAGATTCGGCGCTGAAAGCAAACAAAACATATTCAAAATCATTGGAAGGCCATTTTTCATCAACAGTATAATGTATTCCTTCAGCACCAAATGTCTAAAGAAATAAAATTATATATTGTCATAAAAAGATGTACATTAATTTTTAGATTAATTTAAAAATATTGGATCAAGAACTTACGGTTAATTCGTCAAATACTTTTATCCATGTATCTGTATTATTGGATCCGGCGATAATAATCACTCTGATCATTGTATCGACTATTCACATTTACAAATAATTAATCATTTTTTAATTAAAACAAAAAGAATAAAATTTTTTTTACTAGTGTTCGGGCTAAATTATTCTAAAAATCTGAAATATTTCGCAATAAGAAATAATTCCTCCTGGACGAAATTTTGATTTAACTCAATATATATATATATATATATATATAGTATTTTTTAAAGTCCAACATATTTCGCCAACGCAAAATAATTTCAACCGAGCGAAATGTTTTGACTTACCACTCAAAGTACCTTCACAATAATAAGGTTTCCAAGTTGCTCTTTGAGTAGTTCCATGATGAACAATAGTTCCATCATCAGGTGTGAGTACTTTAATTTTACATTTGTTGCTACTATTCGCTCTTTTTCTTAAATTTGATGCATCGATAACAAACACGAATGCTACAAAGAGTATTAAAATTATTCCAAAAATTGAAGGTTTCATAGTTTGTGTAAAGAAAAATGTACTTGTCCGCAGTGTTGTACAAATGAGTCTCAGTTCTTAAATATTTATAAATATATTCTTTATTTTTTTTTTAAGCTGATATTTCATTTATAGGAAAACTAAATAAAATACATCACAACTATGCTAATCTAAAGTCATATTTCAGTTGTTAGCAACTTAAACTACGATCGCATTTTACTCTCAGCCCATACTCTACTAGAGTGAGTTCGAGCCTCACTTAGATTATGATAGATAACGCATGTGGATATATTGTTTGTTTTGAGGGCTTCTTGTCATAGTATCAGTTTAAAAGTCACGTCTTGGTTTGTTTCTGTTCTCTCACTGGTTATTGGTTAACTTTTTTTTTTTGTTTACCTATCTATATATTGGGGTATATGTTATTCTCTGCTTATTTACTGCTTGTAATTATTATTTAATACATATTTAAAATATTCAAAAATTGACCTCTGACAATTACGTCGTCTGAACTTTAAATTAAAGAATCCCTATAAGAGTGTCGCAAAGCTAAACCATATAAATTTTATAAGATTTAGCTTTGCGGCACTCATTAAAAACTTGACGAAAATGAAACATATACTGGTTTATTTTTCGAAATTTGATCCTTAAGTAACCAGGTAAATCATGTAAAGTATGACGAGGTTGTATAAGGTGATATGTAATATGAAATTCTTGTTTACAGTAAAAAGTAAATTTATTCAGATAATAATAATAAAACACACCTACCAGTTCTTAAGTTGTCGGTGTTTTTATCGTTATAAAAATCTTTAAAATTGCGTGACCAAATAAAAAAAAAGGATCAAACACACCAAGTCATGGAAGTAGAAATTAGTCCTAAGATTTTTTAGGTCCAACCGTGTTGACTTTAAGACCAAGTCCCCATGTAAAAAGTCCTACGATCTAGGTTAGTCAAGGTTTATTCTTAACCAATCAAAAAATCTATTAATGCTATATTGCTTTTAGGGAACAATTCTTATATGAGACAGGACTTACTACGTATAAACCTATAGACCATAAGTCCTAAATTAGAACTCTTTGTGAACTAGGTCCCAAGTGCAGGTCATAGAGTCCTGGACTTTACCATCTCTATATGTACGTATCAGGTAATCAACTATGAACTTTATTATAACTCGTGTCTTTCTAAGCTGTACGCACAGATGGCGTTTCTAACAATTAAGTCACTAGAAATTTCTGAATCAAGAAATATAATCTTTTTTGATAAAAAATATTTTGATAATATGTTTATAGGCGTTGAATGCACAGCCTAAAAGCTGTGTAATGGCTATGTAACATGTGTACGTACTGTACGTACACCCATACCAAAAATTACCAAAATTTTTAATAAGGTTACAATCATCATTTTTTTATACATACAAATTTTTTTAAAAAAAAATGTTAAAAGGTGAACGTACAATTTTTTTATTAGCTATTTCTCGACGATTTACATATTAATTTGAGTTGTAATTTTTTATTCAATAAATATGCAAATAAAATCGATTATAAATAATTTTCACCCTAGGTGATATCACCCAATATTATAAAATTTTATTAAAATAAAATAATTTAAGGTTGGGGATTAGGATTAACCTTGGGTTAGGATAAAAAGGTTTAGGTATATGTAAAATTTAATGTTGAAAACTTTTGCTTAAAAGTCAAAAAATAGTTTTTAATAACACTATTTTAAGTTATTAAAATCTTTGTTTTGGTTATACAATATTCTGTGAGCTAATTGGTTTTTATAAAACCAGGTGATATCACTTAGGATGAAATTAGCAAGAGTTAATAAAGTTTATTTACAATAGTTAATATAAAATCAAGTACTTTTTGTATTTTTTATAATAATAATATATCAAGGCATTATAGTATAATGACTATTTAAAATATTATTATATACAGTCGACTCTGGATATACTTAACCTGCTTATACCGAACTCAGGTTATAACGAACCAGATCTGGCAGGGCCGATTTTTTATAAGAATTTGGGCTGGTTATACCGTACTTATATAGTAAATTTTTATATACCACATCTGAACTCTTCTTTACCAGTCCAGGACTATGTGCACATACTTTGATATAACAAACTATGTATTTGTTTGTATATAATACTGGTTTCAAAAGATTCTTAACCAGAGGAAAATTACTTAAGAACTTCTGAAGGTTTACTGACCTTCTGTGGTTCTACACATGATTTTATTAGTTAGCTCTGCATACCAAACTGTTCAGTATAGAAAAAATAATTTATATAACAAACCTATTCTATACTGAACAAAACTCTTTAGAATATGCAGTTTGATATATCCAGAATTTATTGCATATATTTTTTAAATTTTAGTAATTTTGTTAATAATCTTTATTAAGATTTTTGTACATATTGTTGACATTAAGAGTTTTATACATTTTTGATCATAACTTTTGATGTACCGAACCAATTTGGATGAAACAACCACCATTGGATTCAGTTCACTGAGACGATTCTAAAGAGCACAAGATCATGTGATTCTGATCACTGGATCTTAAGATCGGCAAAGATTTGTGAAATTAGCAATTTCATCAAACACATGACTTAAATCTGATTGGCCCAAATTACTGTGCCAATTACTGTGCCAATTACTGTGTCAATTACTGTGCCAATTACTGTGCCAATTACTGTGCTAATTACTGTACCAATTACTGTGCATTATTGTGCCAATTACTGTGCATTACTATGCTAATTACTGTGTATTACTGTGCCAATTACTGTGCATTACTGTGCCAATTACTGTGCATTACTGTGCCAATTACTGTGCCAATTACTGTGCATTACTGTGCCAATTACTGTGCCAATTACTGTGCCAGAAATCTATTATATATATTATATATATTATATATATTATATATATTATATCTATTATATCTATTAGTTCTTATTACTATAAATAGCATTTATTAGCAATAGAGTAGTCTT